AGGCCTCTAGTGGAAGCAGCTGAGAGCCCACCACCATTGCTGTGGCTGCTAATTGGCTCTGTGATGGGCCTTGGGTCACCGCTCGGTCAGCCATGGCTGATACCGTCTTCCCACTTGTCTCAGGAAAGGCACTGCTGTCCCCTCCACTCAGGCCTCAGCCGGCTACTGAACCGCACATGCCTGGCCATGTGGGACTCTGATGGCAGCCCCCACTGCACGCCCTCTTCAGAGAGAGCTCATTGGGCAGGCCTGGCCTCGGGGCGGGTGGCCATCCGAGGGGCGTGGGTGACAACTGGAGGATGAGGAAGAGCCTGTCCAGGGGTCTGATGTGCCTCCATGGACAGGACATCTTCTAGGTCAATCCTGGCTCTCCCTCGGGGGTTCTCTGAGAGTGCACAGCCCCTAACTGGGGGGCAGGGGGCAGGGCCGTGTTCTGAAGGGTGGGACAGGAAAGCCGCTAACTGGCATCCCATCCTGGACCCTCCCCTGAGCCTGCGAGTCTGGTCTCTGAGCTGCTAGGCCCCCCCACCCTGTTTCCAGGGACTCCGGCTGCTGTCAGAGAGCAGCTGCGGCTCTGCGGCTCTGTGGCCCCGGGGAAGGTGAGGCGGCTTGCCCTCAGCCCAGGCTGGGACCTTCCGTGGGGACTGGCGTCCCTGACCTTCCTCCCAGTGGGGTTGAGGGCACAGAAGGGGGCAGTACCTGGACCGGGAGAAACCTCAAGACTTGGCTTCCTGGGGCCGGCGCTGTGGCATAGCAGGTAAAGTCTCCACCTGCAATGCCAGCATTCCATATGGGCGCTGGTTTGAGTCCTGGCTGCTCCACTTCCAATCCAGCTATCCAGGGATAGCAATGGAAGGTGGCCCAAGTCCTTGGGCCCCTGCACCCACGTGGGAGACCTGGAAGAAGCTCCTGGCTCCTGGCTTCAGATTGGTACAGCTCCGGCCATTGCAGCCAATTGGGGAGTGAACCAGCAGATGGAAGACCTCTCTCTCTCTCTCTGCCTCTCCTTCTCTCTCTGTATAATTCTGACTTTCAAATAAATACGTAAATCTTAAAAAAAAAAAGACCCGGCGCCGCGGCTTACTAGGCTAATCCTCCACCTTGCTGCGCCGGCACACCGGGTTCTAGTCCCAGTTGGGGCGCCGGATTCTGTCCTGGTTGCCCCTCTTCCAGGCCAGCTCTCTGCTGTGGCCAGGGAGTGCAGTGGAGGATGGCCCAAGTGCTTGGGCCCTGCACCCCATGGGAGACCAGGATAAGTACCTGGCTCCTGCCATCGGATCAGCGCGGTGCGCCGGCCGCAGTGTGCCGGCCGCGGCGGCCATTGGAGGGTGAACCAATGGCAAAGGAAGACCTTTCTCTTTGTCTCTCTCTCACTGTCCACTCTGCCTGTCAAAAAAAAAAAAAAAAAAAAAAAAAAGACCTGGCTCCCTGCAGGGTGCCCATCTACTCTGTTACCACCTCCAGAGCCCAACTGGTACCCCTTTACAATCTTGCCAGATCCAGGTGTTTTAATGGCCCACACATCCTCCTAGTTTGACACAGAAATACCCTCCCCCATCTCCAAGCCATCCTGAAATCCTGCCTCCTCCAGGAGGTCTCTGTCACTGCATGGCTTTCCTAGCCTTGTAACCCGTGGTTCCATCCTTGCCCATCTGCCCCCATCAGGGGGCTGCAGAGCTCAGGGCAGAGTTTGTGGGGGCGTGTGTCTCCTGTCCTTCTTCCTCCAGAGCCCCAGGTGGGCGTCATCACTGAGAACACCCCCCTTCCCAGGGCAGCAACCTCAAGGGCCTGCCTTGGGATGGGACCCCTCACGCACCACAGGTTGTTGCACCCAGCTCCAGAGCAGCTCTGACGTTGGCCTGGTCCCTGTTCTGGTCTGGAGCATTGAAGGCCACCTCGCTGTTCCTCTGCAGGGGCCAGAAAAGGCCGGGGTAGGTCAAGGTCTCACTGAAACAAAGCCTGGGAGAGACTCTGGGCTGCCTCTGGGGAAAGGGAAGAGGAAGGAGGGGGAAGGGAGCCAGAGCTCCACTTGGTTCACCTTTCTCAGCTTCAGGTGTCCTGCAGGGGGGAGCTGGGCCCCCAGCTGCTGGTGTTTCCACCCCAAGGGAAGTAAAGCCCAGGCCTGGGACATTGAGTGAGGCTCCTGGGGAGCTGAGAAATCCTGCAGCCTTTGAATAGGATATAACATTTATAAAAAAGAAAAGAAACTGACCAAGAATAGAAACTATACTTTTAGGCAAAGGATGTTTGGCACAGTGGTGAATACATTGCCTGGGACACCCATATCCCATATCTGAATACCTAGGTTTCAAGTCCCGCTGTGCTTCCGGCGAATGTGTTCCCCTGCAGTGTTGTGGGGGGCTGGGGTCTTAATATGTCTATTCCAGGGCCTTGCCATGCACAAAGACAGGAGTTCTTAGTGCTGTCATAAATAAAGTAAATTTTATTCAGAGGGTGAGAAAGCGAACACATGCACACACAGGTGAGCATGGATTGCCCCACACAGAGAAATACCCGTCATGAGTGGGCAGTGGACCCCAAAACAAAAGGGGTGGTGGAAGGGAAGGAGAACGAGCACCCCAGAACCCCCTTCAGTCGTGGTCTCCAGTGGGAGAGGGGGCTCTCCCCAGTTGTTGGCCTCTTTCATGAGGTGGGAGGGTGTATCTCCGTGGGCATAAAGACACCTGCGAGTTTTATGATACTGCCATCAAATTCCTCGTGGATCTTAATATACATATTTCCATGGCACCCTCTCCCCCAGATCCTGGATGATACATCCCGGCGGGGGGGACGTGAGGGGGGGGATGTTCTGATTGGCAATTAGAAGGATAATATTACACATGGAGTGAGGGCTTGTGACTTCCAGCTCAGCAGACCTAACCAGCTACTTGCCTATCCCATATCAGGAGGCAGCGGGTGATGCCGCAAGTACTTGGGTCCCTGGCACCCACATGGAATACCACATGGAGTTCCTGGCTCCTGGCTTCTGCCTGGTGCAGCCCTCGATGTTGGAAGATATCTGGGGAGTGAACCAGTGGATGGAAGATTCACTCTCTCTCTCTCTCACACACACACACACACACACTTGCCTTTGTTTGTTTTTTAAGTTGATTAATTAATTTTAAAAAAAATATTTATTTATTTACTTATTTGAAAGTCAGAGTTACACAGAGAGAGAAGGAGAGCCAGAGAGAGCGAACGAGAAAGAGGTCTTCCATCTGCTGGTTCACTCCTCAGATGGCTGCAATGGCTGGAGCTGTGCGGATCCAAAGCCAGGAGCCAGGAGCTTCCTCTGGGTCTTCCCATGCAGGTGCAGGGCCCCAAGGACTTGAGCCATCTTCTACTGCTTTCCCAGGCCATAACAGGGAGTTGGATTGGAAATGGAGCAGCCAAGGACTCAAACCGGCGCCCATATGGGATGCTGGCACTGCAGGCGGAGGCTTTACCCACTATACCACAGTACCAGCCCCTGATTAACTAATTTTTTAAAAAAGATTTATTTTATTTATTTTGAAAGACAGAGTTACAGAGAGAGGTAGAGAGAGAGAGGTCTTCCATCTGCTGGTTCACTCCTCAGGTGGCTGCAATGGCCAGAGCTGTGCCAATCCGAAGCCAGGAGCCAGGAGCTTCTTCCGGGTCTCCCACGTGGGTGCAGGGGCCCAAGGATTTGGGCCACCTACCACTGCTATCCCAGGCCATAGCAGACAGCTGGATCAGAAGAGGAGCAGCCAGGACTCAAACCGGCGCCCATATGGGATGCCGGTGCTTCAGGCCAGGATGTTAATCCGCTGTGCCACAGCATCAGCCCCTAATTTTTAAAAATAAATCATGGGGGCTGGCACTGTGGCGTAGTAGGTAAAGCTGCTGCCTGCAGTGCCAGCATCCCATACGGGCGCCGGTTTGAACCCAGGCTGCTCCTCTTCTGATCCAACTCTCTGCTATGGCCTGGGATAGCAGTAGAGGATGGCTCAAGTCCTTGGGGCCCTGCACCCACGTGGGAGACCCAGAAGAAGCTCCTGGCTCCTGGGTTTGGATCCGCACAGCTCCAGCCATTGCAGCCATCTGAGGAGTGAACCAGCAGATGGAAGACCTCTTTTTCGCTCGCTCTCTCTGGCTCTCCTTCTCTCTCTGTGTAACTCTGACTTTCAAATAAGTAAATAAATAAATATTTTTTTAAAATTAATTAATCAACTTAAAAGACAAACAAAGGCAAGTGTTTTCCCTTTCTCTCTCTCTCTCTGCCTCTCCTTTTCCGTGTAACTCTTTCAAATAGAATAAATTAATCTTTAAAGAAAAATCATGCTTCTAGCTGGATTATCCTTAAAATCTCCCTATGGGATTACTGAGTTATTATTGAGCTTCCAGGATCATAAAGCTGTGATCCTGTAAATCTATATTCTTTTCCAGAGTTTTCCAAACTGGAATGAAGACAAAACATGTGGAATATTTAGGGAAAATGTATTGGAAATTTAATACCCCCTGAAATACAAGACTATCACTGTGCACATAACCTTGACTTTCAGCCGTTAAGGAGGACAAAACAAGGTTATCTGTTTAGGGTTTCTGGCCCTTACTGTATGGATGGGCACTATGACTCAAAATAGGGGTGAGGCCGGGGGACTTTCAAGGACTCCATGTTCCAGGGATCACAAGAAACCTTTGTTCTAGAAGCACCAGTTAACATCTCCCAAGGGAACATGACTTGGGGAACCCTGCTGACTCCGTCTGCAGACCACACTGTTCTGCTATGGTCGTGTGTGTAAATCCTGCTCTCCTCAGCTTTGGAAGACAGTTCTGTAAAACTGAGAACTGAGCACTCCTGAAAACACGCACAGCATGGATCCCCGGGGTCACTCCCTTGATTGCTCTAGCACCCCTCTCCGGAAGGGATTTCTTCACGGTGTGCAACCCCTCTCATTTCTAAAACTGAAAGTCTCGTGTCCCAGGAACTCCTTCAGTCCCAAGAAAACCGGACTGTTGGTCTTGCTGTTCTTTTGCAGGTCTTGGAACAGGATAGGCTGCGAGGAGGCCAGGCTGCAATCTGAGACCCATATGGCCCCTACAAGGAAACTTTCCACTGATGAAGCTACCGGCCAGCCCTTCCTCTTCCTTCTGTCCTGTCTCCTGCCTGTCCCTTGGGCAGGTAAGAAAGGGAGGGAAGCCACCTGGCCTGACCTCCCACCTGCCATGCAAGACACTGAGGGTTCCCTGAGGACCCCTGCCCCGCCTGTCCCCTGCCTCTGGCACCAGCCTTCCCCCACTCTCCCTGCTTCACTCGAAGCACCCTCCTGCCCCCTCCCTCTGCCTATCTGGCTCCCTACAGTCTTTGGAGACCCAGTACCATCCAGGGAGCCTTCCCAGTTGCTGCAGTTCATTCCAACCCCTTTCTTCTCTGGCCTCCTGTTTGTTCCTGGTCCTCCTTGGGCTCACTCATAGCTTCCTTGTGACTTTCTCTTGCTTCTTTAACTTGTCAGGAGTTCACACCTTTCCTCCCCAGCCATTCTGGAGACCCCAAGACTGCGTACCCACAGCCTGGTCAAACGCCGGACCGGGCATGAGGGAGGAGCTCAGAGGTCTGAGTGCTGTTGACGCTCCCAGCCCCTGTCTCTGACCCCCACTCCAGAGACCCTGGGTCAGGGGCCCGTCCTTAGACAGGTCCTGAGGGCATCAGGTAGATGGCAGCAGGCTTCCCCACCACACTTGCAGAGGCACTGGCGGACAGCGGAACTGATCAGCTGGAGCGGAGAGTGTGAGTCCTCTGGAGGGAGCTCAGGCTGGAAGCTGAGCCCTCCCAGCAGCTGGCAGGGAGTGGCACAGCCAGTCAGGGCAGCCGCCTGCCCCAGAACACGTACCCCAGCCTCTGCTTGCCTTCACTCTCCCAACTTGCTCTGCCAAGCCCCAACGTTTCTACTCCCCACACAGTCCCTTCCTTCCCTGGAGGCCCTGGCTCAGTTCCAGACTTGGCATCCACTGGGCCATCCTTGCCAGACTTAGTTCCAGGAGCTGAGGAGATGGCCCCAGAGAGGCCCTCTGTCCTGCCTTCCCACTTCTTCCAGGGAGACTTCCTGGCAGAGGCCCATGTGGTTGTATGACTGCTACTGCACTTGCCCTCATCCCTGGACAGCAGCTGGTGCTGCCAGAGGTGGTGACCAACCCCGAGAAGGGTATTTCTGCCCAGGCCCTCCCCCTCAGAGGTCTGAGCACCCAGACGTGCTCTGGTCCTGGTCAAGCTCTGGTCTCTACCTCTTCTGGTCATGCGGAGGTGCCCACACCCACACTCCCGGGAGGCAGCCCCTCTGTGCCTGATGACAGATGGCTCATTCATGGGGGCTGAAAAGTTGATTGCAAAACGCAAACTTTCTCATTTCCCAGGTCCTTCTGGGAAGCTCAAGGATCTTAGATAAGAAGCTATGACTTTATAGCCCTTATTTACAGTACATGGGTTTTTGTCTATATAGTTCAATAAAAAGAAATATGCTGGCCGGCGCTGTGGTTCACTAGGTTAATCCTCTGCCTGCGGCGCCGGCACCCTGGGTTCTAGTCCTGGTCGGGGCGCCGGATTCTGTCCCAGTTGCTGCTCTTCCAGTCCAGCTCTCTATGGCCCGGGAAGGCAGTGGAGGACGGCCCAGGTCTTTGGGCCCTGCACCCGCATGGGAGACCAGGAGAAGCACCTGGCTCCTGGCTTCGGATTGGAGCAGCTCCAGCCGTTGCAGCCAGTTGGGGAGTAAACCAGCAGATGGAAGACCTCTCTCTCTCTCTCCCCCTTTCCCCTCTCTGTGTAACTCTTTCAAATAAATAAATAAATAAATCTTGAAAGAAAGAATGGGAGTGTGGGTATAAAAGGGCAGCAGGAGGCATCTGGTAGAGATGGGAATGTTCTGTGTCATGGTGGTGGTAGAGGGGTACATGGACCTACACATGTGATACACACACAACAACAGAGATAGACAGATCTGCAGAAATCAGAAAAATGGAGGACTGGACCTGTGTCAATATCCAGTCATAACCTTGTCTTGTAGTTGTGCCAGATGTTACATTGGGGGAAACAGATCTCTCAGAAGTACAAGTGTTTGTTACAACTGCATGTGAGTCTACAATTGTCTCAGTGAAAATTACAATTAATTAATTACTTTTGAGGGGCAGAATCAGAGACAGAGAGAAAAAGCTCTCACACATTGAAAAAGCTCTCACACATCCCATGTGGATGGTGGATGGCAGGGACCCAACTACTTGAGCCATCACCTGCTGCCACACAGGGTACACATTAGCAGGAAGTTAGAAAAGAGAGAACTGAGACTTGACCCCCTCCGAAATAGGATGTGGGAGTCCCAAGGGTCCTAATTGCTGTACCAACTGCACTGTGGCTGGAACATCTTGAAAGACAGAGCATTCACGACAGCTATCTATACCTGCTGTGCTCTCTGCACTCTGGGGGCCCCAGGAACCCCCTTCTGGGTTAGTCGTGAAGAGCCCTTCCCCTGCTATGCAGCGACCAGCCTGAACACCACCTCCACCCCTGCACAGGCAGCCCCTCACCCCTCTCTTTCACTGTGGGAAAGTCAGCTCTGGCTGCTGTCCCCTTCCTCATCTCAGATCACCCACAGGGGATTATAGCACGCTCTTTGCTTGCATCCCTCCCCTGGGCTCCTGCTCTGCCCTGTCCCTTTAGCACTTCTTTATCTCCTGCCTGGTCATTGCCTTGCCATCTAATTGTCTCCCTGCTCCAAGCTCTCTCCTCCCATTTGTCCACCTGCCAGATCAATTATTCTAAAGCACAGTGTTGAGGTCACACGTTACTGGCAGCTTCCTAGAGTAAGACAGGTTAGGGCTCCATCACTCTGAGGCCCCCTGACCACAGTCCCAGTCCTACTTCCCCAGTTCACATTTTCACTTCTCTTACACCCCACACCCCTCTTTCTTTCCCCAGTATGTTCTGCAATTTGTCTCTGCTGTGGAATTTGCTATCTCCCCCCTTTAGTATGCAATGGCACATTTACTACCCCTAATGTGTGTGGCACAGTGATTTCTAGTTTATAAGCACTCCCCAGACTGCCTGGCACTAAGGTTAGAACTGGAAATTCAGTGGTGAGTTAAAAAGATATGGCTGTACTTCATGAGCTAAGTCAACATAATCATTAGGTTAGTTCTCTGCTCTCAGATCATAACTGGAATTAGCAGGAGAGGGATTTCTCACTGTCCCTCCTGCCACCCCACCCCCCTGCGACTGTAGCACCTCTGGGGTCACAGGGACAACATAAAGGAGACAGGAAGCAGGACTGTGGCTTGTAGGAGACTTCAGCAAGCTTGCGAGCATCACAGGAACCCCTGCTGGGACGCTGCAAGTCCAGTGCAAAGGGACAGCAAGCTTTTGCAAAGTTATATGGACGCTAACGCATCCCAGCATCATTTGTTTCCTTCCCATGTATGCTGCCGGAGGTGTCTGCTCAGAGGTTCTGGCCTTCACACGAGAAGGAATTCAGAAGTGAGACAGACAGGAGTGGTAAGCGAGGCAGCAACGCTTAAAGAAGACAAGTGCACCTGACAGAACAGGCGGTCCTGCAGAAAAGGACTGGCAGCCTAGTCTGTGCAGACTGGAGTTTTCATGGACATGAGTCTGAGTCCCCTGTCTCTTCTCCACTCCTCCCTCTTCTGGAAAATTGGGGGTATAGAGTTTTCTGGATGTGGAGCTCCCCTCCCCCACCCCAGGACCTTAGCAACCTGGTGCTACTGCGCTGAACAGCCCTGTTGGTGCTGGGCAGGGGCAGTGCCCCCAGGCTGTCCCCAGGGAGCAGGCTGACAATCCCCTCCCAGGTTACTGAACAAGAGCAATGACTTTAGGTGTCATTGCTGGTTTGCTCTCAGGGCTTGTTTCCTCATTCCGTTCTACAAAAATTCATTTTTCTTTAAAAATTCTCATTTTCTTTGGCCTCTCTTACACACATAGGCTAATGTCTACCTAGCTACCTTAACAATTACAGTAACTGCCCACACCCCTAATAAGCAACACCTATTATTTGTGTGAGCCTAGGCTGATTTCAATTGTAATATATGGTTAGAAATCTCTATCACTCCTGTAAGGTTTTTGGGATGATTAAACAAGATAAAGAAAGAGCCGTATAGAAGTGTAACATACAATGGTATTGTTATTGATATTTTATTCAATGCAGTGTTCTTTAAATCAATCATATGGACATTATTTATTTCATAAATAGGCACTCAGTGACTGAAATATTCTAGTCTGATTGGGTAGGAAACAAGACAGTACAGTTCTGTACTAACAAAATCTGAGTCATGAATATGAATTACATAGGAAATTTAAAATTTTCTACCAGCTACATTAATAAAGAAGAGATAGGCTAAATTAACTTTAATAACATATCTTTTTAAAAAGATTTATTTATTTGAAGGGCATAGTTAAAGAGAAAGAGGGAGAGACGGAGGGAGATAGTCCATCCACTGGTTCACTCCCGAAATGGCCATAATCCCCCAAGGCTGGGCCAGGCTGAAGCCAGGAGCGAGAAGCCAGGAGCTTCATCCAGGTCTCCCACACAAGTACACAGGCCCAACTACTTGGGCCATCCTCTGCTGCTTTATAGGCACATTAGCAGGGAGCGGGATCTGAAGTGGAGCAGCTGGGACGCAAACCCATACCCACATGGGATGCCAGCGTTGCAGGCAGTGGTTTAATCCACTAAAGCCACAAAACCAGCCCCAAAATATATCATTTTAACCCATTAAATCCAAAGTGTTAGTTCAATGTGTAATTCATTTACAGGGGTTTGAAAGTTTTTCTGCCAAGCGCCATTTGGATACTTATGAAATCATTCGTGGGCCATACCAAATTATCTCAGCTTAAAAATTAACCTGCTATAGATTTATTAAATTTCAAATCCTACCTGTGGTTGCCTTGGCAGGGCCAGACCAAATGATTTGCAGGACTTCCATAGTCCACGGGCCAGATATTCCCCATCCTGGATTTAAATAATGAGACATCATAGGTTCTTTTTTGGTTCTAAATCTTTGAAATCCTTCGTGTATTTTGCAATGACAATGCATCTTATTTTGTACTAGCCACATTTCAAGTGCTCAATAGTCACACGTTAGTACTGTCAATAAAGATAATTAAGGTCTGTGCTATGCTTTACAGTTTCCCAAAGTCTGTTCCTGCTGGCCCTGGAAGGTGGATGTCTGTCATCTCCATGTTGCAGATCAGAAGCAGCAGCAACTGCATACAATTCACCCAAGATCATCGTGCTAGCCAACAGTGAACTTACGCCTTGTTTTCAAACCTAGGCACTTTCCTTTTTGCTTTCTTTTCTAATCAAGCAATACTAAGGCAAACTTATTCTCATGCGTATGATGATATTTGGAAAACCTTGTGGAGAAATGGAAATAAAGATAAGTTTACTTTGGTGCAAAATATAGAAATCCAGGCATATTTTTTCATAGCGTGCATACTGTTAACTTTTTCAAGGCTGTGATACAGGTCCCAAGGCTCTTTGCACTAGTGCAGAGAAGGAACAGTTCTTTCGAAATCCACCTACAGTCCCATCTCCTCTGAAAGTCTCACCCAGTTTAGTACCACCAGAATCTATTACCTCTGTTATTCGAAAAATGTGTGTGTGTTGGATTGAGTACCTACCAGCTCTAAATAAAAAATATATAGACGGGCATAAAAGTCTTACCTCTCTCTCTAACGTACCACCCCAATTTTTATCCTTGTGAATTATCTAGTGCTTCAGCGGCCCAAATAGGTAGGAGTTGCAGAGTCCTGTGTGCTAGTAGAAAAAGCACGTGTGCAGCAAATGCTCATGCCAGACCAGGCTGGCCATGAGGGAATCAGGACCCAGGCCAGGACTGCTCTACAAGAAGTTGGCAGGAATGGCAAGGGCGGGGAGGGCGTTAGAGGACAGGCTAGCTTCAAAACTGCTCTGTGGATGACCCATCCCTAGGCTGAAGTTTCCACACTCAGGGCAGCTGAACGCCCTCCTAGCAGGGGAAGTCCCGTGCTGCCCTGATGAGCAAGGTTTCCCCCACCAAACCTGCACTCCCTTTTCCGAGGCACTGTATGGAAGCCTTTAAAGCCAAATCTGCTCGTTTCCGGCTCTGTAGCGCTTATCCCCTCAAACACCTCCCATACATAACTCAAGTGGGTGGGTGGTAAAAGCTGCAAGCTCCCTTCTCAGGTCTGCCAGGACTGCCTCCAGGGCTTTTCTCTTTTTCCAACCAGCCTCTAGTTCCTTCCAGCTCCCTAGAGGAGGGTACCTCAAAACGTTTGTGGAAAAACGTAATTTAAAATGTGTGATACAAAAAGAAAAAATTTTTCGAAGATTCATTCATTCAAAACGCAGTTATGGGAGGGGAGAGAGAGAGAGAGAGAGAGAAAGAGACAGAGACAGAGACACACAGAGAAAGAGAATGCACTGGTTCACTTCCCATATGGACTCAAAGGGGGCTGGGCCACGTGGAATCCGGGCCTTCCACATGGGTGCAGGGGCCCAAGGACTTGGGTCATCTGCTGCTGCTTTTTTCCAGGCCATTAGCAGGGAGCTGGATCATAAGTGGAGCTGCCGGGACTGGAACCGGAGGTCCTGAGCCTACCCCGCTGCGCCCCAATGCAAGCCCACAACCAGTTCTGAAATCCATGCACATGAAGGGGGTCTTCAGAAAGGTCATGGAAAGTGCATTATGAGAAAACTGTGCATAGATTTCATTATTTTTAACACCAAAATAAGCATCCGTTAATTCCATTTCCTCCAAACTTTATGGCGAACTCTCCAAGTCCTAGAATCGCTGCGGAAACCCTGCTGTGTGCGTCACGCACGTGGGGCTTTCTCCATTGCCAGTCAGATACTGCGCTGAACACGATGCTGACGCCCGCAACACGCCACGGCTGCCTCTCTCCGCGCACTATTCCCTCGCCCCGGGTCTCCACGGGGATCTGGCGGCGTCACTGCGCGCGTCACAGGCGACGCTGCCCCCCCCCCACCCGTCGCAGTGCGCACGCGTCAGGTCGGGCTGCCAGCAACTTCCGGGCGCTACAGGGCCGGCAGGGCGGTGACGTGTCCAACAGGTCCAACTGGCACTCCTGGCCCCTCCGCTTGGGATCCGGCTCCGGAAACGGGGTCCGGAGGAAAGGAGAGGCCAGCCGAGGTTCGAAGGAGCCACTTCGAACCGCACTCGCTAAGCCTGGGGAACTTGCTGTAGCCTGTCGGACCTGGGACAAGGGGCGGCTCTGCGCGCCTCAGGGCGCCACGCCCCGCGCACGCGCGCCGCGAATCAGCTGGACTACGTGGGCAGCCACGTGACGCGGGGCGGTGCCCAGCAGGCTGAAGGGAGGGAAGCGGCAGGCTGGGGGGAAGCAAACGGCGGGACCAGCGGCGGCGGCGGTAGCAGTATGGCCGCGCTCTACGGGGGTGTAGAGGGGTGAGTGAGGCCCGGCGGAGGGAGCCGAGGAGGGGCGTCATGTGCCATCCCGTGCCCGTGGGCGGGGCGGAGGGCCGTGGCCAGACCAGCAGGCAGGTGGTGGTCTCGCGCCTCAGGACCTGCCGCTTGGGGCGTTTGGACTGCGGGGCCTTGCAGACGGGCGGGTGTGTGCACTCGCACGGACACCCCAGCGCGCGCGGCCGTGTATCTTGTGGGGACGCCGCGCGTTTGCCTTGCCACACCCCGGGGGGGTCCTTTGTGTTTCACGGCGGGACCACGCCCCTTTCCCCCCAGTGAAGGTTCGCATTCCGCTGTCTTCCGCTGGAGAAGCAGCTTCGTTTCGCCATTGCCAATCCTGGAGAGAGTTTGGCCGAACAGGTGTCAGGTGTGAAGTTGGTGGGCTGGGGTGGGGAGTGAGAAAGGGGCGGAGACCGCAGTCCTTGCCGGAGGGTCCCTGCAGAGTGCTAGCCCCTCCGTTCCTGTCGGCGTTTCCGGCTCCTGACCCTAGATCGAACTCTTGTTACTGCTTTTCTTCCTGCTCAGAAGCTTGTCTGCCGGACTTTTTGAAATAACTGCTCCTGAGTATGACTGTGGACAAGGCACATGCCCTCACTGGGTTCCAGTTGCTGCAAGTGTGAAGTGAGGTCAGGGATGAACAGATGATGGATCGCCACATCCTCTGCCAGTGACAACATTAAGTGAATCTGGGTGTGTCCAGTCAGGGCATGATGGAAGGCGGCTGTCATCTCAGCCTGGGTACTGTACTTTCAGATCTGAGATTCACGTCTCCGGCAGCCACATCTGCTGACTCATAGACCCCAAAGTCCTCATGTGAATTGTTAGGGTCGATCTCCCTCATCCTGTCTCTGTAGCCCCCCTCCCCTTTTGTCTAAACAGTAACATAAGTATGCACTTAGTTCTGTTACATACATCTGTAAGATAGAAACCAGTGTTTTTCAGTTTGTCACAAGATTCTTTTGTATGTTGAATCTACCAATTCATGCATTAACTACCCCTGGAACTTGTGGACGTCATTGAGTTTGATCAGGTCTTCAACATCCTCTTTTAAGACCTTCCCAGAAGTGTGGCTCAGTAAAGAAACATACATTGCACCACCACACGCCTCCCTCCAAACAGCTCTCTCCCCAGTAACCAGCGGTGGAGGGTTCAGGTGCCTAGGAAACGTGTGTGTCCTCCCTGCCGTCTGCTCGGCATTTCCTGCAAGGCTCTCTTACAGACCTCGGCAGCCGGATCTGGGTCCTGAAAGACAGCCTTTAGCCATGGTGAGAGAAGCAGAGACGGATGTGCTGTTCTCTTGGGCCTACATTGGGCCCAGTGCTAGTTACGAGGATAAATATATGAACCGAAACGTGACCTAACGGAGTTCAGACTCCAGCGAGAAGCAGACAGAACACCTGAGCATCTCCTCATAGAAAGGACTGTAGTAGCAGTAGGGGGCACCGGGAAGGCTTCACTCATGGAGCTTTGGCAAGTGTGTGAGCTGGGCCACACGTCGAAGGTTTCACGGACCTGGTGCTGTAGGTAAGGGTCACACGGGATAAGAAGGTCTCCCCAAGGGGATGAGTGAAAACTGTGGTTCCAAGCAAGAACACACCAACCAGAGATGGGTTTGGGAGTGGTAGCTGGGTTTGCTGAAGCTGTCTCCTCCATCTCGTGGGGCTCTGCCTGGGACGAGAAGTGTACAAGTTCGCTCTGTCTGCATGTTTTCCTGAGCAGGACTGAGTGCCCTCTTGTGTTCTGTAGGGGAGGCACACGATCCAAGGTCCTTTTGCTCTCGGAGGATGGGCAGATCCTGGCAGAAGCAGATGGACTGAGCACAAATCACTGGGTAAAAGCCACACTGAGGGGACCCGAGGGGTTGGTTCTGATTTTGTTCTAACTCCTGTTGAGGTGGTGGCCGGGGCTCATAGAGCAGCCTGTAGGGGCAACATGGGTCCTGCAATGTTTTGTAACCCTGCCTTCCCTTGATTGGGGCCAGCTGATCGGGACAGACAAGTGTGTGGAGAGGATCAACGAGATGGTGAACAGGGCCAAGCGGAAAGCAGGGGTGGACCCTCTGGTACCTCTGCGAAGCTTGGTGAGTCTGGGATGGAGCCTGGGTAGTAAGCTGTCCGCATCAGACAGGGAGCAAGTTTGGACTAGATGAGTTTGATGGCTGTAGGAGCAAGGGTCTTCAGGGCTCAGGACCTGTGTCCTTTTAGAGTTCACCCGTTCTTGTGGCTTCAGTTGCCACTTAGAAGCCACAAGTGTATTGGAAGAGCATTACATGTTGGAGAGTCATTGAAACCTTGGCTTGCCACTCAGCATCTGTGTGACTGAGAGCAGGGCAGACTGCTCTTGCCAAGTCTCAGTTTCCTCACTTGGGAAACGGGAATAGCAGTAGCCACCTCAGAGCTGTTGCGAAAGTAAAGTGACATGAGGCATCCTACAGTGGTTAGCATAGAGCATGGCCGCTGCTCATCAACCGTGAGCTGTTATTCGAAGCTCAGATCTTTTTCCTGCTGTAGGCCTCACTGCTCCCTGGACATGCGAGTGAGGCGTTGTGCAGACACAGCCAAACCCCGTGTGTTCCAAACCAAGCCTACCTCCATCTGCCTGTGCCTCCCCCACCCACCACCCCCCTGCACCTGACTCCCCTGTGAAGCTGCCCCCCCAAGTCCCACACCTAGCATTGTTGAATCCCCTTGTTCCTCTGTACATTTCTGGCCCCAGGTTCTTCACCTGTGTTAGGTGGAAGGAGGGTGGGGGCTGGATGGGCAGGGTATGGCCTGATGGAGAGAGTAGGAGGCAGGCATCAGGAGGGGAGGGGGTTGAGAGGAACTTGGTCTGGGGCTCTGCTCACTTGTTCACCTCCTGCCCGGCCTAGGGCCTGTCCCTGAGCGGTGGGGAGCAGGAGGACGCGGTGAGGATCCTGATGGAGGAGCTGAGGGACCGATTTCCCTACCTGAGTGAAAGCTACTTAATCACCACTGATGCCGCTGGCTCCATCGCCACCGCTACGCCGGATGGTGAGGACGTGGAGGGAGGGTGGAGGTTGAGGCACGGTCTTCTTGGGAAAGCCCCTTAAATAGAAAAACTGGCAAAACTCATCTCACAGATCCCTGGCAGGTCAGCCCTGTCTCGTTTCATTAGTGCACACTCCAGCCGGAGTGGGGACAGACTGTCCCGAGGAGGGAGGGCAGGAAGGGTATCCTGATGGGAAGTGAGCAGTGGGATCAAACATAAGACCCCAGCACAGAAGAGCGAGCACCGTGGGGGAGTGCAGTGCTGAAGGCAGGCTGAGGAAAGCCCAGAGGACCCCGAGACAGCAGCAGGAGCTCTGTGATAGGGTGACGTTGGCATCGTGGGCTCAGTGTTTGAATCCTAGCTCCTGTTTTGCTAACTACCATCTTGGGGAAGTTACAGAACCCCTTGAGTTTCAGTTTCTGCATCTACAGGATGAGAGTAATTGTATTCACCCTGTGGTTTAGGGTGTCACTGACCTGCCCCATCCCCGGCACAGTGGGCCGCACAGCAGGTAGACACTTTCGAGGACTGGCTGGCAAGGAGCCACCTTCCCTGAGGGCTGTGCAGACCTGTGTTGCTCCGTGTCGCCCAGAGAAGGGCTCTGTGATTGGAATTTCTCTGAGATGCAGCCTCAGGCAGGAAACAGCTGGGGCAGTGGTGGTGGCCAGTTGGCCTGGGGCTGCTTTCTGTCCTTCTGCCCGGCGGGAGTTGGCGCAGCCACACTGAGCCTCCACGCCTTCTCCCCAGGTGGGATCGTGCTCATCTCTGGCACAGGCTCCAACTGCAGGCTCATCAACCCCGACGGCTCTGAGAGTGGCTGCGGTGGCTGGGGCCACATGATGGGAGACGAGGGCTCAGGTGAGTGGACCCTTCCCTTTCTGCAGCTCCCCGTCTTCCTCTCCCTTGCCCGCCCCTTGGGGGATCTCTGGGGCTATCTCCTGAACTTGACCATGTAAAGACAAGATCAGGACTGGGACATCATGGATGCAAATGCTGGGCTAACTGCTGACCTTGCTCTTCAGCTGTGACTTGCACCCAGGATTCAGATGCTCGCCTCAGCTTAATAATGGTTGTTGGCTACCAGGGTTGACTCTTGGAGTCCTTAGGGAGGAGTTGAAAGTGTGAAGGCTGAGGCCATAGATGCCAAGAGGTGTTGTATCAGACTGCTGGTGGGAGAGGGGTGCAGAAGCTCCCCAGCCCCACCTCCTTAGAGGTAGTGTGTGTATATTTTCATACGGGCCCTTGGGGCCCAGCTCAGGGCAGTGACTCCAGTGGTGTTTGTAATGACTGACCTTGTCTTGTGTTTGGGTAGGAGCTCCTGTGACACAGCTTCACCTGGTCCCCAGCCAGCTTTCCCTATCTGGGACAATCAAACATAGTATAGAGGCTCTCCAGGCTGGGGATGAGGAAGCCTAGTTTGCTATAAAACTCTAGCAGATCATTCATCCCATGTGGGTCTGAGTTCCTTCTCCCTGAGCTCAGGAAGACTGCCCCATCCTCTTAGTCCTCTCTGCTCTCTGCAGCCTACTGGATTGCACACCAAGCAGTGAAAATAGTGTTTGACTCCATTGACAACCTAGAGGCGGCTCCTCATGACATTGGCTACGTCAAGCAGGCCATGTTCAACTATTTCCAGGTACTCCCTTGCCCCCAAGAAACAAATGTGTGCCTGGGAGAGGGCATGGGGAGACTGGATGCAGGAGAGGGCCAGGTGGGCCAGAGGGAGAGAGCAGGGTGAGTGTGGGTCAGCTGTAGAAGAGCGAAGTCATCGGTGAGGGCAGGATTCCGAGCGAGGTAGGCAGTGGGTTCCAGGAGGGTGTCAGCCCTGAGGAAGGGGTGGTTTGTTAGCAGGTAGTGAGCCAGACTCTGTGCTTGTGCTGCTGGAGCTTGCTGGGCGGTGAAGGCAGCGTTCTAAGCTCGGATGGAAAGTGCAGAGTGAGGTCAGGAGCAGAGAGAGCAGGTAGCGTCTGATTGAGTGCATTGGCTGCCGAACTGCTGCTGGCCTGCAGAGCAGGTGAACAGGTGGGCAGGGAGGGTTCAGGGGAGGTATAGCCTGCTTAGGGCATTAGGGCTTGACTCAGTGCTGCGCTCATTTGTCATGGGTTAGGAAACAGCTGCCTTTAGCAGATCCAGAGGTGAAAGATGGGAGAGGGGAGGGAAGATAAGTTTGCTTGGTAGATTGATTTGTTTGTGTGTGATGGCTAGAGTCTGTCCAGCCACTTAGGCAAACTGGGACTGAGGCCAAGGGAGGAGATTAGAGGTGCTGCAAAGTAGGGGTTGGTGATTGAAGAGCAACTCTGGCCCCAGGCCAGGGTGAGGACTAGGGAGGGATCAGCAGCAGCATTCACTTCTCTGGAGGTTGCTCCTGAAAGTGGAGTTAAGCTGTCCTGACTCAGTTGCTTCTGAACCCCACTAGTGAGTCTGTTGCTCCTTCTATCTCTGTAACCTTGCTGCAGAGATGAAGTGGGATAGTGTATAAATACTTTGCACATTGCTTTAGGTGCTCAGATTTTAGCCCCCCCCCCCCCTTCTGTTGACTAAAAAACGTGTTCTGTGTGGAATCACTGACGCCTGAGAGGAGCTAAGGGAGTGTGCGTGTGTTGGTGTGGAAAAAGGACCTTCTGTAATCAAGAAAGTTGGGAGAACCCAATGTATTGGTTGCAGGAGTTCTCAGAGGCTGTAATCTGCTAACGTGCAGTGTGACTCTGCAAGGAAGCGTAGCAGTGTGCAATATTCTTTAGATCTCTTTTGAGGAGTATGTCCAGGAACCACAGAGACCACTTGGAGAACACAGTGCTGCTTTCAAGCTAATCTGTAACAAGCAGTGAAGTCTGTGTTTGGGAAAACAACTTTTCTTAAATGAGAAATCTTAAATTCTTGTACTTTCTAGAGCTAAAAAAAAAACAACAACAAAAAACAAACAAACAAACAAAAAAACCCAAACCCTCAAACAAGCAAAACTATTCCAGCTTGTCCAATTGTAGCGACATGAGGAAGGTCCATCTGGGTGGGTGGACTGGGATTTTCCTTTGCTTCCAATGACCACCTTGTGCCCTTTCTCTCTCCCAGGTGCCAGACCGGCTAGGAATCCTCACCCACCTGTATAGGGACTTTGATAAATGCAGGTTTGCTGGGTTTTGCCGGAAAATTGCAGAAGGTACTGGAGGGGGGGCAGGGTTTTTCTGGCTTTGTTCCCCAGAGACTTCCCCTGTTGGTGGGAGGAGTAGGCTATAGATGGGCTGGATGCCAGTTTCCCCCTCACCAAGGGAGCTGGATGCTGTGCCTCCACAGTGTTTGGTGGTGGTGAGATCTGGGGGGGAAGTGGAAGGGTGCACGGTTGTATTGACAGTTGGTTTGTATTCCCTGTGCAGTCGTAGCTGGTGCAGGCTCTGTGCCTGTTTCTGAGAAATTATATGAATCAGCTGTCCTTTGAACAAATCCATATTTAAAAGAAAAATTTATATCCAAGGAACTTGAGGATTATGGAGAGCTTGGGCGTATTTGTTGGGTGTTGGAAAGCTGACCATAGGCCACGTGTGGACAAGGTGCTCGTGGTCCACTGTAAGCTTCAGATGCCCTTCATCTCGGGGCTTGTACGGCTCTCTTAGCTTCCACTGGACTGAGAACACAGCGGGGGGAGAGGGGCACTGCCCAGCCAGCTGCCCAGCCAGGGTCTGGGGTCCCTAGAGCTGACAGACTCAATAGGGACAGACCCACAGTAACTTGGGGTAAGCCAGGTATACACCAGGCGCCAGTGTGCTGCTCTGGTGGGCTTACCCTTCCTCCAGCTGGGGAAGGAGCTGGTGTGTGTGAAGGGTGGGCGTGAGAGGAGGCACTGAGAACGGCTGCGTGCATGCCAGGAGGTGGGCAGCCAGCCAGCCAGCCAGACTCTAGCTAGTTCCGGGTGCTCCTGCACCTGCTGCCTTGCAGCAGCGAGAACACCCCAGGCCCGGCAGCTCCCTAGCAGCTCCCATCTTCCCTCCTGCCTCCCCCAGGTGCTCAGCAGGGAGACCCCCTGTCACGTTACATCTTCAGGAAGGCAGGGGAGATGCTGGGCAGACATGTTGTGGCCGTGTTGCCTGAGATTGACCCGGTGAGTTGAGGTGGGAACTGCTGGGCCGGATCTGGCCCTTGCCCATTGCGGGTGGGACTAGGGGGTTGTGCCATAAACCCTGTGTGAACTGGACACTTGTAGGAGAACTGGTGGGGCATGCAAAACTCTGCAAAGTGTCTGTAACATAAAGAAACCCTTTGGTCTCCCTCCATGGCTAGTCCACAGTGTGTATGTGTGTGCGGTAAATGAGCTAATGTCTGTTTCTTTCAGCCATGTTTCCGTTCATTCCCCTCTCTCTCTTTCCTTCCTCTCTGCTGCTGCTTAACCCTTCTTCCTCTTCTCTCTCTCTCACCTGTGTGAATCCCCTTCTGTTTCTTGGCTAGAGGGAGAGTCACTGGGTTGGACAGGAGGGCGCTGGGAGGTCCTAAGAAGGAGCCCCCCCTTCAGCACTGGAGAGGTGTGGATGGCCCCCAGCGTCTGTCTCCTGCTCTCCACCCAGGTCCTGTTCCAGGGGGAGATTGGCCTCCCCATCCTGTGTGTGGGCTCCGTGTGGAAGAGCTGGGAGCTGCTGAAGGAAGGTGAGTCTCAGGTGGAGCTGGAGGCCAGGGGCAAGGGCAGAGGATGGGGCTAGAGAGGATGTGGCCCAGGGAAGATATGGCCCCTGGCCTGAGGCCCACACGGGCCGCTGATGCCTCAGGCCTCACGATGTCTTGAGCCCTTTTGTAGCATCCCACCCAGCAGCCTGGAATGCTTGAACAGATGTGTGCGTGCCAGGTGATTTATGATGGAACCATGGTTTAAACATTAAAGACAACTCTGACTTAAACCCCGTGCTCTGAGCAGCCTCTCCTGTGGCCACCTCCCCGGTCAGCACAACCCTAGCCGGGAGGAGAGGAGGGGGACCGCTGAGCTTTGTAGCTTTATCCCAGCTAGCCAGGTGGCTTCCACTAGGAGTTTAAAGGAGCCGAGGGCCTCCATTGCTACCACGGAGTCTCTGGAACCAGGTGCCCCTCAGGCTGCTGGCTCCAGTGCCCACAGCTGTCACTGGGCCCATGTGCCCTGGTGCGCCCTCCACACCTCTAAAGGATTGCCTCAGGGCCTGGGCACCTTTGTCCCTCCCTCGACCCTGGCTTCCTCCGAGTAGCTGGTCTCCTCTCACCTCTGTCCTGGCCTTCTGCCCTCCAGGTTTCCTTTTGGCGCTGACCCAGGGCCGGGAGATCCAGGCTCAGAACTCCTTCTCCAGCTTCACGCTGATGAAGCTGAGACACTCCTCCGCCCTGGGCGGGGCCAGCCTAGGGGCCAGGCACATTGGCCACCTTCTACCCATGGACTACAACGTCAATGCCATTGCCTTCTACTCCTATACCTTCTCCTAGGGGGCTGCTTCTGGCTCCACCCCCTCCAAGCCCAGTGGACATTGGGTGCTGGAGGGGAGGAGTCTTTTTTTTTTTTTCTTTTTTAAACACATAGAAGAAAATAAACGCACTTTACCCACTTCCCCAATTGGATTGTGTTCTGAAGCACACCGCCTGCCAGCCGGCATCCCAGCGGGCTCAGGAGTGTTCACTCACGTGCAGATGAGAGCTGTATGCCACCCCTCCCCCAGCCACACCTGACAGACGGACATGCTGTGTGGCGGTGTTTAACCTGTGACTTGTTTCGTCATGTCAGAGTGGGTAATAAGTCCTGCCCTACTAAATGCTCTCCTTGCAAAACGTGACCAGAGAGAGCACAGGCGTGTCACCCCCCAGGGTGCAGGTCTGGGCTGGGACAACGTGTGCCTCCGTGGGTTTGGTACGTGCAGGGCGGCAGCACACTTTGCAGCTTTTCATATGAATGAGTTCCTGGGAGATGATGAGGATCGGGGAAATCCAAGAAGGCAGCTAGCTAGGCACAGTTAAGTAGGTGGCTCTGGGTCCAGTGTGACGCTTGTGTGTGTTGTACGGCCGAGAATGAGCGCCCATGAGTAGGAGAGCCAGGTGTGGTGGGTGAAGGCAAGCCTGAAGCCACCTGCCCCTGCTGCCTGGTGGAGCCTGAACAGTCTTGATCCCCGCTGGCTGCCTCCCAGGCGTTGGGAGCGTGAACTATTACAGGAAATGGAGCATGTCCTAGACCTCAAGCTCTCAAACTCACACCCAATCCGTCTACAGTTTGAAAATCCAATTTCCCAGTTCTGTCTTCTACCCCCAGCCCCAGGGATGATGGGACATTGTCATTTCTACCGTGTCCCTTGGGTAATTTCTGCTACAGATGTTCAGTTTAGGCCCCCCAAGGGGTCTTGCCCACTAGCTGATCACCTGCCTAAGTCCGATGCCAGTGTTCCTTCACGCGCAGCACTCAGACTGAACAGGATGGCAGCAGCTCTCATCCCTTCAGCTCTGGCCCAGTGCAGTGAGCTGAGCGCTGGGTGGCAACTCAGGCCAGGTCCCTTCCAAGGGATACACAGTCAGCCATTTTTACATCCACCCGTGACCAAACCTTTACACTCCTGCAGTCAGGAGTCTCCAGTCCTCACCTGAGACAAAGCTTGCAGAGAACAGCACACAACAGGGATGCCTGTGCCCTGTCCTGCAGGTCTCAGTTTTACCTGTTTTGATGAGTAGTGAGCTCGGGGGGTTCCCTGCCATGCCCGCGGGATGAGGGTCCGTGGAGTTCTGGTGAGGCGAGTATAAACACTGAGGCCTGCGTTAGGCACTTCACGTGAGGTGTGGTGCAGCCATCGCTGCCTTTGCATTGTCTTGACTGCAGCTCCCGTCGGACAGTGGAAATTTGAGAGCAGAGCAGGGAGCACACCATAGTTGGCCGTTCAGTCACAGTGGGTAAGGGCCAAGTGTTAGTTAAATAAAAAGGTACTGTTAACTGCACAAGGTCAGTTATGTTACTAGTTAACACATTTAGATGTGATGAGGCTGTTTACTCTCCAGTTACTAAAGCTGTCTTACACAGCTTATACAGCTGGACATCACTGATTTGTTGTTAATTATTTGAAGGGCAGAATGACAGGGAGGTATCTTCCATCTGCTGGTTCACTTCCCAAGTGAATGCTGTGGCTGGTGCTGGGCCAGGCTGAAGCCAGGGCCTAGGAACTCCATCCGGCCTCCCATGGGAGTGGCAGGGGCCCAAGCACTTGGGCACCCTCTGCTGCTTTCCCGGGCTCATCAGCAGGGAGCGGAATCAGAGATGGAGCAGCCAGGACTTGAAACAACACTCCAAAATGGGATGCTGGCATCTCAGGGTGGCAGCTTAGCTCGCTGTGCCACAACGCTGGAGTGGTTTTGATGAGTTTCTCCTCTCTTTAAACTCACATCTCTTCCCCAACAAGAGAACAGGAGTGCCTCATGGGTATCTGCTTCCAGGCAGGAGGACTTAGCAGAAGCACTGGGCTCCAGTAAGGCCAGCACTGCTTTTATCTACCTGTTTGCTCTGATGGACGGCACAGCCACATCCATGCCACTCATTCCACAAACGTTTCAGAATGTCTTCCAGGTGTGACTAGTGCTCAAAGGATTAAAAATGATTGTACCTTTTTTCAGTGAAAATTCATGTAACTGTTCATTTATGCTATCTGTACTTGGCTATAACAAGCTTCAGTTAATGGCATTTTTAAAAATGGACATATTATTTACATCTTCAACAATTTTACACTCCAACAGGTCAGCCATATATATCTACCTAACCACAGTGTCTCATAAAGCTATATATAAATAGGCAAGTCAGTTCAGATCCCCACCACTTCTCCCTGGTTTTAGGAAGGAGATCAAGAAATAGTAGTACTCAAAACTCCCAAGATGTTTCTACCATATGATAAAATCCCTCAAAAAATCAGTGGGGAGATTCCAGCTGGGTAAGCTGAAAATAAGTCCAAATCACCAAATCATCATTCCTTCAAGAGCAGGGATTGTGTCCGCTTGAGGCAATACTTGGAAGATAGCAGGCACAGAATCCTTCATTAACGTCCCAGGCAGGCATTAGTTCTGTGCAGACACTGGAAACTCCAGCTTCTCTTTAGACTTAAAGAGCCTGTCACCACCCCGTGTTCAGGCTGTACAAATGACTGCCACCACTGGTCCTGGGTATTAAAAGCCTTTGATGTGCCAGGCAACATTTTAAAATTAAATTCTGCACAGTTTTCTAATAGCCTGAGCAGGGATGTGTCACACACACCTTCACAAATAAATTGAGGTTCAGGCCAAAGGCACAGAGGAAGTGGTAAAGGCGGGACTCACTCAGTCCGGTGACTTCCAAGTCCATGATCTTGCTACTTTGTGCAACTAAAACTATGATTCATCTTGCAAGTCTGTCACACACATACCACAGCATACACACCCCATGGTATGCGGGTACGGAGTAACCCAACTTTAGGAAAAAAGGTACCACTGCCAGTAAATGCATTTTATTCTCATTTTATTGAGATTTTCAACAGCTGCCATTTGGTTTGTATAGCAAAAAAATTTAAAGTAACTTTTTCATTTTTGATATTTTTATGAAAATTATTTTTTTCAATGAAAGCCCTGTCCCTCCCCCAAAGAAGTATTAATAACTACCATGTCATGTTCACTTAGGGAAAAAAAGAGCAAAAACAGCTTATAAACACTTGTGAAACGGGTCAAGGTTCAAAGTCTAGACCCTCCTTCTGGAGGTGCCAGGCTGCCCCATGACAGTGTCAGCACGTCAAGCACCATGCACGGGCCCTGGGGGCTGCTGCCACCACAGGCCCCAGGCGTGTCTCCCCATCTGCCTCTGCTGTCAGCCTGACATGTGTCCGACCAAGCAGCGTGATGTTTAATACATACTCAGCTTTATAAATAGGGACACGGTACTGCATGAGTTATTTAGAAAGTTCACAGATTTCCCCATCCAGTCTGGGCAAGGAAAGACATCCTGTATGGCACTGATGGTTTCACTTTCATGTCCACTCAAGACACATGCCCAGACTCATTAAGTGGAGTTAGCAGATGCTTTGAAAGTCCTTGTGTTGTAGACAGCACAAAAGCTCTTTATAAAACGGTTGCAAAATTATAAAGATTTCTGCAGCAGTTCAGGTTCCTGTGTGGCTTCTGATGACAAAGCTGGTTCTGATAAGCAGAGCTCTCTGGCGTGCATTGCAGTCTCCCCGACAAGTCCTCTGTTCCTATGCCCAGAGGGTTCCATTTAGGTCACAGGAAGTTGAAATCCAAGTTTAGAAGGCTGTCGGCTGACCAGATGTGGCCCCTCGGTGGAATGCTGCTCAGCAAGAAATGGGACAAACTACCCAGACATCTCGCAGGTCATGGGTGAACCACAGAGATACCGAGCCACGTGAGGAGATCACAGACTGGATGAAATGTCCGGAAAAGGCAGACATATAGGGATAGAAAGCTCCTCGTGGGAGCCTGGGTCTGGAGGAGGGAACAGGGATGAATTGTAACTGAGCACGAAGGGCCTTACTGAGAGGGCTGTGGCTGCACCACTGGAGAAGGTTACTGAAATCACTGACTCGTATACCTGAAGTGGGTGAATTTTATGATATATGTAAAACATGCCTCATTAAAGTTGTTTAAAAACAGCACTCCTTGTCTCTCAAAGCACCCTTCGTGCATCAGTTAAACGTGTTTGAAGGCTCACAGGAAGCAGGACAGGAGCATCACTTAGTGCTGATTTACAGAGTGAAACGTTTCACTGTTTTAGCAAATACATTTTAGTAACTGTAAAATATCATTTAACGACTTTATTGCTGCAGTAGTATTTTTGTAGTATTAAATAGCTAGACTTTCTTTATTATTTTTCAAAAAAGGCAGCCAGTAAGAAGGTAGGATTGGGGTGAAAATTCAGCAAATCTCAGAGGTGAGATTCTAATAAAAGATGATGCATTCGTCTGTCCATCCACAGATCTCTTGGGAGTGTGACGCGCTTGGCTGACACCCTGTAGAGACCCGTATCCAGCTGTCCTATTCCCATGACCCCCCTCCCCTGAAAATAAAGACTGATGGGGCAGCACAGGAAGAGGTTGGGCAGTGGGGGCACAACGCAAAGTAGCACCCAGGAAACTTGAGTGTTTCCTTAGGTAGGCTTCCTGCTCCCCTGTCTCCGTACCAATAGCAACTTCAATAAAGGAGATCAAAACAAAAGAGGAAAAAAAACAGACTCCCAACTACGGCCAACCAAGTCCAAGGATGAAATTCACAAGGCAGCACAGCAGAGGCTGCAGGAGGTCCATTGCATGCCACCCAGACCCACACAGCTAATGATCTCCAGGGGCAGTGAGGTGTGAAGTGATTCACACAGGGACTTGCAGGCAAAGGCAGGAGGTCAAGGTCCCTACTACACACCACATCCAGGTCAATGCTGAGCCTTCCAGGGGGCTCCCCACACTAATGACATTCACGGTATCCCAGAGGAGAGTGGTCGGAGACATGGTATTTCCCATCAGGCGGATGCCTCCAAATCGTGGGCAGGTTTGTCACTTCTCCACCACCAGTTCCCACACCTCAGTACCACCCAAGGGCCCTTACTGAAGGTAGCCTGCTCTCTCCAGGTGCAGTAGGTGCACTCGGGAATATAAACAGCCATCTGTCTACACTGGGCTCACAGCAGCCTGAAGGCAAGGGGGAAAGCTGCAGGCTGTGTACTGGGGTTGCCTGTTTACAAAGCTTTCCTCTCTGGCATGGGAAGTGCCTGAGTGTTCCTCTGCCTTCCCTACCTTCCAGCCTCTCCAAAGTCAAGGCAAAACTTTGACATGACAGCAACCAACCTTTGGAAAATGCGGCTTAATATTTCACTAAAAATATTTATTTTTAAGCCACTGCCATATTATAACTAAAGAGAGCCCAGCTGTTCTGACTTTGGAAACTAAAGAGGCTGCAAAGGTCCAGCCTGTGCCTTGTCATCTTTGGGTTTGACCTTATATGAGTCCCAAAAGCTAACTATTACAGTTAGAAATGGGCCCAGGTCCAGGCAATATCCTCAGATTTTCTGCCACAGTTCAAAGGCCTAGAAAAATGGAAAAGACATTCCTCTACTTTTTTTTTCCCCCTTGAAGATAAGGACATAGGTTATCTTCATCTTGGAGTTTCAGAGTCAAATAAATAATCACAATAACGAAAACAGAAGTCAATCACCACTAACACTGGGACCAGCCAGACTGGCAACTGTTAAAAATACATGCTCCATTTCTATACACATTCTCAAACTTCTAGTTGCCAAAAAGGAAAAAAGTTTGATCCAAGTAGTGACTTAACCTCAACATCAAAAGTATCACTTACAAATACAAGGCTCACCATTAAATGGTAAAGGCATTCAGCCTGGCTCGCACCCAGAGCCTGTCCTGTGAGGAAAAGTCCAAGACAGACAGAGGCTCCCAGCCTTTCCCCAGGGAAGGTCCAGGAAGACCCATACACCTTTTCTGCTAAGAAGTCGGTAAAACCATAACCAGACCTGTGACCCGGTGACAGCAGTGCTCCCACCTTGCAACATAAAATAGGCGGCGACAAGAGGAACTGTTAGAAGCACAAGTCCTGCATGTTAACAAAAAAGGATCACCTTGCTAGCTGCTTCCTGACCCTGGAATCAGCACTCTCTGGGTCTGGGCAGAAGTTCCAGCCTTCAGATTCTGTGCTTTCTTAGTCCCAACCCAACACACCCTGTGAACATGCCAAAGACTGACACCCAAAATGGACCAGCGCTGCAGAAGGAAAGACAAGCCTCTTGGGTGGCACCTGGCAGCTAAGCCTACCCAGGAATCACAAGAACAAACATTGAGGATGCAGAAGTGGATCCTGGCAGTACTTTCCTAACGGGCAGCTGAACACAAGTCCATGGTACTTCTTGTCACAGACACTTCCTATGCTCCCCACACATTTCCAACTGCCTAGGCACTGTGAACACCGCCAGGCGAGGGGAGACTGAAGAGAAAGAGCAGTCCCGGAAGAGAGCGGTCGGCTCTGCTTACGCACTTCCAACACTGTGTCCTTCCAGAGTCAACAAAGCCAGCTGATTCTTTACTCATGGTCCTCCCTGGACAAACTAACACTTTCAATCCCCAGAGGCAGAGGCTTGGGGAATCGTGCGTGTCTGATCATCCAAGTTCCCCAAGCTACATACTCTCCCGTGACATGTGACCATCCATGAAATGCTGCCATCCTATAGACTCAAAGGAGGAAAAAGATGTGGGTTTGTACATTAATCTTGTGCTAGCTTGTGGCTGGTCACATGGTCAACGACGGAGCTCGCAGGAATTTCTTCAGCTTTCCAGACCCTTAAGTCCTTTCCTTGCAACCTCGGTTCCACATCCACATACTGAATTTATACCAACTTCAAGTTACACAACCTTTTCTTTCCAGCCTCATGCACAGCACAGCAGCAGTCGCACAGAAAGCACTCCCATCCTCGGGCTCCTGCACGTCCTCATCTTGGCAGCATGGCCACGACCGGACATGCTCTTTCACACACAACACTGCCACCTGTACCTCTACACACGCAGGCAGCTCCTGGTGCCTCGGGAGTACCAGCAAGATGCCCCAGGTGGGAAAGGCAGACAGGATCCCCTGGAAAACTCACATACAGGGAACAACAACAGTTTCTAACAGGTGGAAACACCACAGAGGGCCAGGCACATGGTCATCGGGTCAAGCAGGACTCACTCCCCTAGGTTGCTCTTGAGTTCCTCTTGTGTAGTTCCGTGGGGTGCAGAGAAGCATCCAAACAGAACGGAGCTGCTTACTAGTGTCCTGAAAAAACACATTTCCTTGAAAAAAGTGCATAAACCTTACAAAGGGAATTAAGATACCAGGAGGACCAAGTGCTGATGGATTAGAAAAAATCACTGTCCAAATACACTGAAAATACAGCTAACAGAACTCCAGGATGACTTCTCCAGGTTCAAGCACAGCAAACTTCTCCTATGTCTTCGGTAACATCTTAAAGGCAGGGTGCGGCTGGGGTGGGAAGGAGGTAGGAATAGACACATGAGGGATGAGGCAGCAAATGAACCTACTGCTCTCGTCCCTTGCAAGTGATGAGCTTGACGACAGCAGTGAACAGAGGCTTCAGGAAAGAGCCAACAATAACAGGACTTCACTGACCATCACCACCACAGCCGCCTCCCTCTGACTTACGGCCTCTCATCAACCATCGGAAGAGCTCCTATAAACCAACTATCTGAAGTCTGGGTTTTTGTGAGTGGTGTGCAGGGCAGGGCGACACAGGCTAGGTGGGCCAGTGGTAATCCCAGCTCATCGTAGGAAATTCCAGGGCCCAGGGCGCTGAGCCTTGTGTCCTGGTCTGCACCACCTGACTCGTCCGCTTGCCCTTCTTTGCATCCTGTTGATCAGACGCCACAGGCACCCCCTGCCCCGGGGTGTGTACAGCAGTGTGGGAAGGGCATTTCTTAAACACCCAGCTTTTCTTGATCAACTTATTTTGCCTAAACACACACAGCAGACCATTCCTGATGAAGGAAGTTTCCTTAATACAAACAAGCTCACTGAAAAAAAACAAAAAACAAAAAACAAACAAAAAAAAACCCTAGAAGACCCAGGAAACTGCTCCAAATGAAAGTCAGCACAACAAAAGAGAAATACTCAGAGGCGTGTAGAGTAAGACTGAGCACATTAGTTACTCAGAGGCACAGTACCGCATTAACCCTTCCCCTTCCCCGCCGTGCACCCCTTGCCCGCCCCACCCCCTCTTCAGCACTGCCGTTTTGTGCATCACTGTCCCCAGATGTGGGGACAGATAAGTCCTCCTCAAAGCATTCTGCCGCCTCAGTACTTCACTCCTGGAATAAACTCCTTGGCATCTGGATTCAGGTTGCTTTTGCTCTGAAATAAGAGGCGAGAGATAATCAATCCCAAAGCAAGCTGCACTTTAAGACTCATTTTTTCCCCCATTTCCATTATTACCAGTACCTTCCCCTCAGCCTTAAGGGGAGAAATAAAGTTCCCTGGAACACAAGCTATTACTCTGGGCTGTTCGCAAGAGCTCCTGATACTCAAAGCCCCGATTAGCTCATGTGCTCCTTCCTTCTTTAGATTCCTGCTCCATTGGTGGTGCTTTCCAAAGTCTCATCAGAGACCTTCAAGTTCCACTCCAAGAGCTTTCCAATTCATTGAGTACCTTGAAAATCAGGATATCCCATCGAAGCTGTCTGGTTACCAGAATCTTTTTCTTCACCATTCTTTAGTCCCTGTGGTTACCTACCCTCTTGTGAGTATCCCAAACCTCGGCAGACTATTAGGGCACAATCATTCAAATCATTCACAAGTAAGTCGGCACGACTCTTGGCACTGAGGTATTACATAAAGACGGATTGCAGGGAATGAATTTATCTGGCCTTTTAATTATAAGGGGAAAACGGCCTCTCAGAAATACATTCCTGGGGCTGGCATTGTGGTGCAGCCGGTTAAACCCCGGCTTAGGATGCCACACCTCATATGAGAGCGCTGGTTTGAGTCCTGGCTGCTTCACTTCTGATCCAGCTCCCTGATAATGCACCTGGAAAGGCAGTGGAAGATGGCCCAAGTACATGGGCCCCTGCCACCCATGTAAGAGGCCAAGATGGAGTTTTTGGCTCCTGGCTTCAGACATGGCTGTTGCAGGCATTTGAGAACTGAACCAGTGGATGGAAGATCTCTGTCTTTCTCTCTCTCTGTCATTCTGCCTTTCAAATAAATGAACAAATCTTTAGAAAAACATTTCTTCCAAAACAAACAGGCCATAACATTTCTGTTGTTGTTATTTATTTTAGAGGTGGGGGAGGGGGAACAGAGAAAGAGCGAGATCTCCTCTACTCGCTACTCCTCAAATGCCTGGAATGGCTAGGGCTGGGGCTGGGGCTGGAGCCAAGGGCTAGGAATACAAGCTAGGTCTCCTATATGGGTGGCAGAGGTCACCACCATTGCCTCCCAAGAGTATATACTGGTGGGAAGCTGGAGTTATGAGCAAGAGCTGAGAACCGAATCCAGGCACTCCAGTGTGGGACGTGCAACTGCTAACCCAAAAGCCCTCTCTCTGAACAACTTTTAAACAGAATTATTCTGAACTACAATATATTAAATATGGATTTGGGAAACAGTAAAACAAGACAGGAGAAATTGAAAATAAACTTCTTCAGTGTTCACACTTTCATCTTTAATCCCAAGTCTACTTTGAGAAGCCAGCAGCAATGTTTTCATGGTATTTCAGGAGGAGCCACATGTCTTCAGTGCACGCTCTTATCAAAGCCCCTGGCATGAATGATGAGGCTAGAAAGGGAGTCCTGACTCCAAACCCTGGAAACTTTTCATGATGTCACATGTGAAATGCTATGTGGATCTTACCAAAATATCTTCAGAATCACAGTCATCGCTGACTGACAATCCGTTGAGCTGCTGTTGCAACTGTCCAACAGCCTGGGGCAGGTCTCGTGATGGAATGAACCAGTCTTGGTCTTCTTCATCCAGCATCTCCTGGAAGCAGCGATCCAAGAAGTCTTGTTCCTGCAGTTCCTCTTCCACCTAGCAAGCAAGGGCAGCAGCTCAGACTTATAGGCCCTGGGGATCTACCAGTGTTTCCCCGACTTCTTCCCAGTTTAGTACTCTGCAGTTAAGAATGACCTGGACTGGGGCCGGCGCTGTGGCGCAGTGGGTTAAAGCCCTGGCTTGAAGCGCAGGCATCCCATATGGGCACCAGTCTCGTCCCGGCTGCTCCTCTTCCGATCCAGCTCTCTGCTATGGCCTGGGATAGCAGTAGAGGATGGCCCAAGTCCTTGGGCTCCTGAACCCACGTGGGAGACCCGGAAGAAGCTCCTGGCTTTGGATCAGTGCAGCTCTGGCCACTGCAGCCATCTGGGGAGTGAACCAGCAGATGGACGACCTCTCTCTTTGTCTTTACCTCTCTCTGTAATTCTTTCAAATAAATAAAATAAATCTTAAAAAAAAAAGAATGACCTGACACCTAATAATTAAGATGCTTCAATGCCTGGCTACAAAACAAATTTTTTGACCAAATTCTATCAACAGTGAAGACTGTGAAATAATTATTTAAAGTAGCAGAAATCCCAGGTCTTTACATGCCTTCCAAGACCTTTAATAATGTGACACAGGTATTTTCTATGTTTATGAAACTTATGGAAAATAATTTTTAGACCCTGATATTCTTTTCTCAATTCTGCTACAAAGGAATTCTTTAAAAAAATTATTGCTGTTATCACTGAAGAGGCAGAATAACAGAGAAAGAGAGAGACAGACAGACACATGCAGGCACACAGAGATCTTTCATCTGCTGGTTCACTCCCCAAATGCCTGCAACAGTCAGGTCTTGGCCAAGCTGAAGCCAGGAGCCTGGACTCCGTCCGGGGCTCCTATTTGGATGGTAGGTGGGTGCCCTAGTCCTTGAGCCATGATCTGCTGCCTCCAAAGATACATTAGCAGGAGACTGCTTTGGAAACAGTAGCTGGACTCAATCCAGGCACTCCAGTATGGGATGGAGGTGTCCCAAGTGTGGCTTAACTTGCTGTCCCACAATGCCCAATCCACGAATCCATCTTAAATTTCCCATATATAAGAAGCATGAAAAAGGGACAGGAAGTGTGTAACCACCTATGATCTGGATAGTAGAAATTAAATCAAAAGAAACTTTAAGCTTCTGGCTCACTTCTCTGGTATTGAGACCCCCAACCTGAGAAATATATAAAGAACACATTTTTGGCATACCACTAGAAACTTATGTCATCAATGCAATATTCTGTTCAAATAAGAAGAAATACATGAATATGAGAGAATTCCATATTTCTTAAACACTGTCCTAAATTAAAACAGTATGTACCCAGGATATTTTACACTTCTTTGCAGACGCTGTTAACTCTGAATAAAGAGTATGGTTCAGGCCTGGCGCTGTGGCGCAGCGGGTTAAAGACCCAGCCTGTAGTGCCGACATCCCGTATGGGCACGGGTTCGAGTCCTGGCTGCTCTACTTCCTATCCAGCTCTCTGCTATGGCCTGGGAAAGAAGAAGTTGTTGGCCCAAGTCCTTGGCCTCCTGCACCCACATAAGAGATCCGGAAGAAGCTCCTGGCTTCGGATCAGCTCAGCTCTGTCTGTTGCGGTCATTTGGGGAGTGAACCAGTGGAATGGAAGACCTCTCTCTTTGGCTCTACTTCTCTCTGTAACTATGTCTTTCAAATAAATAAAATAATTCTTTAAAAAAAGAAAAAAGACTATGGTTCTGGGGCCGGTGCTGTGGCTAAGCAGGTAAAGCCGCTGTCTGCAATGCTGGCAGCCCATATGGGAGCCAGATCCAAGTCCTGGCAGCTCCACTTCTGATCCAGCTCCCTGCTATTGGCCTGCGATAGCAGTGGAAGATGACCTGCATGCTTGGGGCACTGCACCTGTGCGGGAGACCCAGAAGAAACTCCTTGCTCCTGGCTTTGCCCTGGCTGTTGCAGCCATTTAGGGAGTGAACCAGTGGATAGAAGATCTCTCTCTCTCTCTCTCTGCTTGTCTCTCCTTCTCCTCTGTAACTCTGCTTTTCAAACACATAAATAAATCTTTTTTTAAAAAAGCCCTCATAAATACACATCTGGAAAATTAAAACAAAAAAGTATGGCTCTAGTGTGGCTTTGATGGGCCCCTGCTTCACACCCTGGCATTCCTTGCCTGCTGGCTGCCTGGTGACACACAGCTCACTAGCGCCACCACCAGAAAGGTGGTCAAGCAAAAAATAATCACTCAGAAGAGCCTGTAGTTACCCCATGAATTGAGAAGACACTGGTAACAGGATTTAAGAACAGCATTTCAACATCACAATTAGTCGCCCTTTTTGGATCTCAAGTAAATTAGATAGTTATGAAGTATGCAAAATAACAATAACAAAACACTTTCAAGACATGGGACTGAACACGATTTGATGTTTAACATTTCCTGGTGTTTTCTCTCTCCATTCTTTCACGTGTTCCCTTTCTTTTTTCTTTCTTTCTTTTTTTTTTTTTTTTTGCCACGCCCAGAATGGACAGTGAGAGAGAGACAGAGAGAAAGGTCTTCCTTTGCCGTTGGTTCACCCTCCAATGGCCGCCGTGGCCGGCGCGCTGCGGCCAGCGCACCGCGCTGATCCGATGGCAGGAGCCAGGAGCCAGGTGCTTTTCCTGGTCTCCCATGGGGTGCAGGGCCCAAGCACCTGGGCCATCCTCCACTGCACTCCCTGGCCACAGCAGAGAGCTGGCCTGCAAGAGGGGCAACCGGGACAGAATCCAGACCCCAACCAGGACTAGAACCCGGTGTGCCGGCGCCGCTAGGCGGAGGATTAGCCTAGTGAGCAGCGGCGCCGGCACGTGTTCCCTTTTACTTATGATATTTTTCTCTTAGAGTATATACATGTGAGCCTGTTTCCCTTACCCTAGAAGTAATCCATTTTCTTTGTACGTGTAAGAGTTGGGAAATCAGAACCAAGAAAACCAAAATAGTCACCCTTGTGGTCGGCACTGTGGCGAAGTAGGTAAAGCCACCATCTGCAGTACTGGCATCCCATATGGGTGCCAGTTTGAGACCTGGCTGTTCCTCTTCCGATCCAGCTCTCTGCTATGGCCTGGGAAAGCAGCATAAGATGGCCCAGGTCCTTGGGTCCCTGTACCTTCGTGGGAGACCCAGAGGAAGCTTCTGGCTTCTAGCTTCGGATTGGCACAGCTATGGCCATCGTGGCCATTTGGGGAGTGAACCAGCGGACGGAAAACCTCTCTCTCTCTTTCCCTTTGCCTCTGCCTTTCTGTGGCTCTGCCTTTCAAATAAATAAGTAAATCTTTAAAAAAAAAGTCACCTTTAATCTCGACACAGACATTTTTTAATACATCTATGCTGACTTTTACTTACAAGTCACCCAAGGGAAAATGATGGAGGCTTACAGAAATCCCCTCATTAGAAATGTGTATGCAAAGTATCCCAAAATTTATAAAATTCACAAAAAATTCACATTTCTCCCTGTTTCCACAATGTGGCTAGCCAAAGAGAGCAAATTATATGTAATTAGATTTTGCCTCCCCCCCCACCCCGCCTTAACCCAACCAAATCTTCCTCTTCTTGGAAATTTTGTGTACATGTAGGTATGAGGAAACATAAACCAATCACAATTATCTACTATGTTACCTCTTCCTTCTTTCCTGAGTCATACAAAGGTCTTCAAAATGTCTGTGGAAAAGTGGCATTACGATTATGAGTTTATTTTGGTGCAAAAAAATTGTTGAAATCCATGCATAGTTTTTTACAATATGTGTTTTCCATGCATGTGAAAAAATATTTCTGTACTGATTTTTTTTGCATTTAAACCCATATTTTCAATTCCATTTTCCCACAATATTTTGAATATCCTTGTATCCTGAGTTTTTTTTTTTTTTTTTTTTAAGATTTATTCCTCTATCTGAAAGGCAGAGTTACAGAGAAGCAGAGGCAGAGGCAGAGAGAGAGAGAGAAGTCCTTCACCCCCTGGATGGCCACAACGGCCAGAGCTGAGCCAAATCTGAAGCTAGGAGCCAGCAGTCTCCTCCAGGACTCCCATGTGGGTGCAGGGGTTGGGCCATCTTCCACTGCTCCTCCAGACCACAGCAGAGAGCTGGATTGGAAGTGGAGCAGCTGAGACTTAAACAGGTACTCATATGGGATGCCGTTGTCACAGGGTGGCTTAACCCATGATGCCACAATACCAGCCCTTGTAGCCTCTTTTAATCAGCACGATAATAAGTTAACAAATCTTCTCCCAAAGTATGTCCACTCTGGTTTCTTTACAGCTGAAAATACTTCTTAGTGGGGCCGGCGCTGTGGTGTAGATTAATCTTCCATCTGCAGTGCCAGCATCCCATATGGGCTCCGATTCTAATCCCGGTTGCTCCTCTTCCAATCCAGCTCTCTGCTTTGGCCTGGGAAAGCAGTAGAAGATGGCCCGAGCACCTGGACCCCTGCATAGCGTGGGAGATATGGAGGAGACTCCTGGCTTCGGATTGGCCCAGCTCCAGCTGTTGTGGCCATTTGGGGAGTGAATCAGTGGATGGAAGACCTTTCTCTCTGTTTCTGCGTTTTTCTGTCTGTAACTCTACCTCTCAAATAAATAAATAATCTTTTTTTTTTTAAAAAAATACTTTAGTCATTCCAGATGAAGCCTCTATGTATTTTTACATTATTCTAAATCCAACTGTACCCTTTTCTTTTGTAACTGAGTGTAAAATATTAAAGCTGTTAAGTTACATGCATCATTAGTCTTCTACTTCATTCCTTACCTGTCTGTTGAAATCTTCTTCATTCTCCATCCACATGTACTCTGCAAATGGGTTTTCCTTCTCATCATGGCCATTTAACCCCTGGTCCTCTTTGGATTTTACATTGGGTGATGTATTTGCCATACTGGATCCATTCATCATGACAGAGCCCAAACAGAAGCAAAAGAAAGAATAAAGTGAATATAAAGAAAAAGAAAATGTGAACTTGTAACATCCAGATTCTTACAGAAGCTTCTAAAGTTCTGAGTCAAAGATTTTTACTAGACAAAAACAGAAACTATTAGTCTATAATAGTTATCAAATCAACCATATCCTTCAGTTAAAAACTATATAGATAGATGTGCAACTCTTCTTTTTTAAAAATTACTTATTTATTTGAAAGACAGAGAGAACATGAGAGACAGAGAGCTCTCCCAACTGCTGATTCATTCCCTAAATGCCTCTTGCAGCTGGGCTGGGCTGGGCTGGAGCCAGGAGTGTAGAACTGAATTAAGGTCTCCTACTTGGGCGGCAGGGATCCAAGTACTTCAGCCATCATCTGCTGCTTCCCAGCATGCAAGTTAGTAGGAAGCTGGAATCAGAAGTAGAGCTGAGACTCAAACCAACCAGGCACTCCAGTATGAGATGTGGGTGTCCCAAGCAGTGGCTTACTTAACCACTGTGCCAAATGCCCACTTCCTAGATGTACAATTCTTTTGGAGTTAAAAAAAAATCTAGGCTCAGTCTTTCTAGACAAGTGGAGTGGCATGTAGGAGGGAGGGTACTACTTTTCCCATACCAAATTCCAAAAACCCCTAGAACATATAATCAAGATCATTATAAGCAAAGCATCTAGCCTAGTGCTTAAGACACTAGCTGGCTGGGGGCTGGCGCTGTGGCACAGTGGGTAAACCCATGGCCTGCAGTGCAGGCATCCCATATGGGTGCTGGTTCAAGTCCCGGCAGCTCCATTTCCGATCCATCTCTCTGCTGTGGCTGGGAAAGCAGTGGAAGATGGCCCAAGTCCTTGGGCCCCTGCATCCATGTGGGAGACCCGGAGGAGGCTCGGTTCCTGGCTTCAGATCAGCACAGCTCTGACCATTGCTGCTGGTTGGGGAGTGAACCAGCAGATGGAAGACCTCTCTCTCTCTCTCTCTCTGCCTATCCTTCTCTCTCTGTGTAACTCTGATTTTCAAATAAATAAATCTTACAAAAAAAAAAAAAAAAAGACACTAGCTGGGAAGGCCATATCCCATATTGGAGTGCCTGGGCTCGCGTCCTAGCTCTGTTCCTGATTCCAGCTTCTTGTTAATACATCTCCTGAGAGGCAGTAGCTGATGGCTCAAGTAGTTGGATCTCTTGTCACCCACATGGGAGGCCTAGATTCAGTTCCCAGCTCTCAGCTCTTTGGCTTGAACCAGACCCAGTACCACCAGTCCAGGCCCAGCTGTTGCAATCTGGGAAGTGAACCAGAGGATAGGAGCTCTCTGTCTCTCAGATAAATAAAAACAATCACTCTAGCTTCCTTTATGTTTAAATACAGAAAAATTATTTTTAAAATTAACATAATATTTGCATTTATTAATTGGGTTAATTATTATAAATTCAATACATGGATACAATGTATAATGACCAAATGAGGATAATTAGCATTTCCATCTCCTTAAATATTATCATTTCCATGAGTTGGGAACCATCAAGCTCTTCTATAGTTATTTTGAAATGTATAATAAATTGTTCTAGACTATATTGACCCTGTGTTAGATCTAAGAAAGTACAGACTTTGTTTTTTTTTTTTTTTTAACAAAAGATTTATTTATTTGAAAGAGTTACAGAGTAAAGGAGAGGCAGAGAGAGAGAGAGAGGTCTTCCATCCGCTGGTTCACTCCCCAGATGGCCACAATGGCTGCAGCTGGGCTGATCCAAAGCCAGGAGCCAAGAGATTCTTTGGGTCTCCACGTGGGTGCAGCAGCCCAAGGACTTGGGCCACCTTCTACTGCTTTACCAGGCTATACCAGAGAGCTGGATCGGAAGAGGAGCAGCTGGGATTCAAACCAGCGCCCCTATGGGATGCTGGCACTGCAAGTGGTGGCTTTACCCACTGTGCCACAGTGCCAGCCGTGAAAGTGTAGACTTAATGAACAATATAAGTACCCGCTCCTTATTCTTAAGTTCTATTTTTCTTTAAAATACATTTCAAAACATAATACATGTTCATTGCATTCATAAGGACAAAGAGAAAGTGAAACTCACTGGTGTCCAACCATTCAGAATTAAGAATGATTAATAATGTGGTGCACAAAAATTTCCTGGTGCTCCCAGTGCAAATAAAAACACATATATGCATTCCCCAAGTGCCCATTCTCAGTGTAACAGAACCCTGGGGTACATGATGTGCCATCACTTGCCTGTTCTCATTTCTATGTTAATATAGCCATACTCTCTTCAGAGTGTTTCTAATGTTTCGGTATTATAAAGGTTGGGTAAATTTCTGTGTTCACCTTTTTCTAATGACTTCCTTAGGACACCTTCTAGAAATAGAACCATACTGGAGAGTATGTTCTTTCTTTTTTCTAAGACTATTGATTACCATGCTGGGATGAGAATTTACATTTGGGGTAGACATTTGGTGCGATGGTTACATTCCTGCTTGGGAAGCTCACTTCCCATATAAGTACCTGGGTTCAAGTCCTGGCTCTGCTTCCTACTCCAGCTCCCTGACAATGCGCACCCTGGGAGGCAGCAGGTAATGGCTCAGGCAGCTGAGTCCCTGCCACTCACATGGGAGACCCAGACTGAGCTCCAGCTTAATAGTTTTGGCCCACTCATCCCAGCCCCAGCTGTTGCACGCATTTGGGGGAATGAACTAGCAGATGGAGGATCTTATCTCTGTATGTTTTCTCTGTCTTCTAAATAAATAAAAATAATAAAATATTCTAAAAAACAATTTAAAGTTCCATCAGTAGTGTGTTAAGTGCCTGAACCCCATAATCATGAATATATTTAAAACTACTGCCAACCTCATAAGAGAAAATCTGTATTTTATTATTTACATTTCTTTGATTTTAATGATGCTAATTTTAAGTAGGCTTAATCTGTCTACTGGGCATTTATATTTCTTATTCAATAGCTTTCCTGCTAAAGTAATTTGCTCATTTTTCTATTAGGGGATATATCCTTTATCTTTTGGAAGAACTTTTATATTTGTCAAAATTTTTATTTTTTTATAATGCACAAATAAATTTGTAACTAACACAAATATTTTATCCATTGTATTTGCTTTTTTGGAGTCCATTTTTGCTGGCCTTAATTTTTTTCCCCCAAGATTTATTTATTTATTTGAACAGCAGAGTGACACACAGAGAGATTATCTTCCATCTGCTGGTTCACTCCCCAGATGGCGGCAATAGCCAGGTCTGGGTCTGGCTGTAGCCACAAACCAGGAGCTTCACCTGGTCTCCCACAAGAGCAGCAGGGGCCCAAGTACTTGGGTCATTATGTACTAGCCTTTTTCCATCATTCCTAGGGTGGACATTTGGCACAGCATTTAAGATGCCATTTGGGATGCCTGAATCCCACATTGGAGTGCCTGGGTTAGAGCCCCAGCTCCACTCCGAATTCCAGCTCCTGCTAATGCGCACCCTGGGAGGGAGCAGGTGATGGCTCAAATGGCTGGAATGCAGGCAGGCAGATAGGATAAAACTGATCAGATTTGTGAGCTGGAAGACCATGCCTTCACCACGCCCATGTGTGAACTCATCCCCCTATTTGATCCCACCTGCATTGCCCACCTACCAATCAGGCTATGTGACCACATCCCTTTGGAAGTGGCTAAAAGGTCTGAAACACGGTGGGCCCATCCCTTTTCACCATTATGGACCTTTGTTGACCTTGTCGGTGTGCGTGGCCTTCAGGCAGCCTGGGCTCTCTTTACCTTCACTTCACTGCTTCTGCTAAGCTGCTTGTGGCTGCTCATAACCCAACACTTGTTGCACGTGACTCTTGGTTGGCTGTCTGCTCAGTATGGACCCCAACTGAATTTCCGGACTTTTCTTTCTCCTTTAAAGCCCTCATTCCCCTATGCATTTCTCTCACTAAATACAAAAGCTTAAAAACTTACCATGCTGCCTGGTCTATTTGAGCAAGTATTCAGGATTATCTGAATTAATGGCAAGAACCCACACAGCTTATTAATATTGGGAAATACTGGTAAGCAAAACGGTCTCAGTTGGTTCATGCCATCCTTGTGGGAGACCTACACTGAGTTCCTGGCTCCCAGCTAGGACACCTGCCATCCCTGGTCCTTTGCAGACATCAGGGCAATGAAACAGTGGATGGAAGATCTATCTCTTTTCCTGTCTCTCAAATAAGTAAAATAAAGACTTTTTTTTTTTAAACAAAATCTTAATCATTCTTCAAAAATCATTCCAGTCCTTACTGATTTCTTCCCCTTCTCTAAGCTATTGTACTCAGTGAATATGGTGTTCAGAAATATTTAGTTGTTTGGTTTCATATGAACAATCTTTCTCCACCTAATTAGACTGTCGACTCCTAAAAAACAAAATTGAGGCTTAAGCATTCTGTAACTCACCACATTATTAGGAAATCCATAAACAGCTGTGGCCTAATTGTGCTGAGGCAACACTCCCTTCTCTATCACAGCGCCCTTCCACTTGGACTCCATGCCCACTCCCTGCCTCCCTGGGGCTTCCTTAAGCTTCCTTGAACAAATTAGTTCCCCATTCATCTCCATCTTGGCAACATTCCTTACTTCTTTGATTCTGGGTAAACTAACAAATTTATGCTTAATTTTTTATAAAGTTCCTGAAGTTTCCTAACCTCTCATGGACATCAGATATTTAATCTAAAAAGATAAGGTAAAATTGTGAAGAGTAGAGAGCAGATGGAAAACAACTCACTGATAGTTCTGAAAGAATTTCATTTAAAACAGAACCCATTTAATTTACCATAGGTTTAAAATAGGGCACCTAGTATGAAATCTTTCTAAGATATTTTAGATAGGGACAAAATAAATCAACGTCTGAAATACAGATCCATAATGATAATAATTTCACAAAGCTACGGAAGGAAGGAAACTGGTTATTATTTTTGCGACTCCCATCTGCAGTGCAATGACAGAAGCAA